CCTTTCAGTCTTAACTTTTAAACTCCTCAGGGTACAGTATATCAGAAGATGATATAGCAGCCCTATAATCTGATCCTTTGAGCGGGAACCAGTTCTCACCTTATCAGTTCTCACCTTATGCTTTCATCTGTGTTTCAGAGGATGTAAAGATTACATTTAAAGTCAGGTATAGGGAGAAAAATTGTAATGTATATCATTGCTACATCACAATGTTCTCACACTTAAAAACGACTCAATCATTGATCACAACAACGCCCCACCCTTCCTTCTACAGTTTATGCAAACGGTTGATTTGTGAATTTATTCTTGGCCGAAGGAACCTTATTGTTCCTATATTTTCCAGCGACATAGTGACAGCCGTTTAAAGTAAACATCTGAGGCTATGTAGGCGGGTCTTTTTTCACCATGCCAAAATATACAGGTAGACATTCATGATCCTGGCTGAGCCAATCAAATTGCTTCTCCTGAAACATGAAGGAGGAACTTACCAACCACATGGTTTCCGTACATGTCTGGATGTCTTCATCTGTCACTAGAAGAATCCCTCCATGTCTGGTGTAGCCCAAAGACCCATGGTGCAGGCACTGACCCTGTCATTAGTAAGGAAGACCTCTAAGGAACCAACACACAGAGGCAGAACTCACAGGACACAAGCAGAACTTAAGGGCTCCCCTCAAAACTACTGGAACTTGAATTATAAATGTTGAAGGAACATGATGGATGGAAAGCAGAATATATATTTTCAGAAAACCAACCGGTTCTATCCCCATTTGCAATTATTAAACGTCAGATTAATTTGAAATTGTTGCATAAAGGCAGTGCTTTTGCATACACAGTGCAGATAGTGTTTGAGAGTTTGAATTCATTTCCACGAGCTATGAAATAACATGCTTGAATTGAAAGTACAAGTATTGATGCTGCTTAACTTTAAAGTGAGCACATCGGTCAATGCATGTTTTTTCCTCCTCTGGTGACACTGTTGTGTTGTTTGAGGCGCCATTAGTCTTCGGTTGTGTCTGTAATTTTCCATTCCGACCTTTGCTCTTCATGTAATTAAATTAAAGATAAATAAGTGAATTGTTTTTTAAGTTGCTATGACAATTAGTCACACAAACCAGCCTGCCTTTATACACTGACAGATCATCATACTGGTGGTTCCAATGGCCTATACAAGTAGCCTAGAACACAGTCTATGTTCTCTCTTTAATACATATGCCTCGAATGGAACCTTCCTGCTATATCCTTCCTGTTATCCCGGAATAGACTTACATCAAATCAAATCAAATCAAATTGTATTGGTCACATGCGCCGAATACAACAGGTGCAGACATTACAGTGAAATGCTTACTTACAGCCCTTAACCAACAGTGCATTTATTTTTAACAAAAAAAGTAAAAATAAAACAACAACAAAAAGTGTTGAGAAAAAAAAGAGCAGAAGTAAAATAAAGTAACAGTAGGGAGGCTATATATACAGGGGGGTACCGTTGCAGAGTCAATGTGCGGGGGCACCGGCTAGTTGAGGTAGTTGAGGTAATATGTACATGTGGGTAGAGTTAAAGTGACTATGCATAAATAATTAACAGAGATAGGAACATGCTAAATAAAGATACGTTTGCATATCGCTCTATTTGAACTGGTTAATTGGATCACTGCATATTAAGTATTTCCAGCATATTTCCCTCCTTTTTAAAACTTTTTCATATTAACTTAATTGTGACCCAAGGCATGAATATGAGCCTTCTATCTGTTTTAACACTGGGGGAATTGGGTGGCATGATTACTGTTTCTTCAATGCTTTACATTTTTTTAACAGAGACAGACTCCGACAGGAATGTGATTATATCAACAAACCGGTGTCAGGTGCAAATGGGTGTGAGCTGCCCCACAGCCCCAGTGAATTTTCAACACTTGAGATTTCCTATGGGACCACAATTCCATATTAGGGAACTATAAAAATATCGGAATTACCTGCTAGCCCAACCTAACCACCATTTGACAGGGCCTCATGGCTTTTTCCTCAATGTCGTTATAAACCTCTGGGTGGTGTGTTCCTCCAGGGCCTCACAGACGTTCAGACTGCCCCCACCCAGCCATGCAGGATGCCAGGATCAGCCTGTAGCATGCTGCTGTGGAGGTGTTTCCCACTACTTACTAACACAGCCAGAGGTGCATGGGAACAAGACAGAGCTGTATACATAAGTAGTCAGTCACCCTCTTTACATCTCAGCAGTCTTCGGTTGCTCTGGGTGAGAACCACATCATTCAGTCCTGCAGGGAAAGAAGCTTTAAAAGAAGTGCCGTGTCACTTCCTGCTGATGAGGACAGTCTGGTTGGTGGAGGTTTGGCTTTCACTGGAAGGGAACCAGAAAAGTACTGAACGTTTAATACTGTATAATAAACTATTGTGTCTGTGTCATTAAACCTGTAGTTACTCTTGTGAATTATTGGTCGCAGGTGGTAATTTCTTCTCAGGCTCTATGATTTATTTTGGTTTTGGGGAGTGGGCCTAGCTACGTTCACTTGCCTAATGATGTCACATTCATTTCCACTGATATCTCGACAACTAGGGGGGTCCTCAAACAGACTGAATGGGAGCAGTAAGTGTCTGTCAGTTCACAGCTTGCGATAACACTTGGTTTTGCAGCAACAGCTGCATCTCTCCCTCCGGACACTCCCTCATCATTGTTGCCCCATATGATGGACAGTTGGACACTAGTTTCAACCTGAATTTGCTCCAAGTGCAACTCTCACACGCTATAATTTAAATATTAAACTTTTGAAAAACTAAGATTTTATCTGTCACATGTATGGGTTTATGGGTTCCTATGTAATAACCAATCCACACCCCAGACCAAAGGATATGCCTAGTTGCTGCTGATAGCTTTACTAGAAAACTCTGAACACACGACTAATACAGTCTTATTCCCTTGTCCAGAGTGTCACTTCCATCTGACCACAGCATGGTATAATAACAAGAACCCAATTAGAGAGTGCCATGGTAACAGTAAGCAACAGATAATTAAATCAAATATAGGTAATTCATCTCAGAAGCTTATAATGACCTGAGATCTGACCCAGCTTGACAATTCCTTGGCATGATACAGAATATAGTTTCATGGATCGCAGATCTTCTATGATGTATCGATGCCCGAATGTTAATAATATCATAAAAAGACTGCATTGCGCCTTACATATAACTATTTCTAAATGTAGAAACATATATGGATTGCTTACTCATTGTATATACCCTCGTGAATCTATTATCCAGTGATTCAGCCTATTCTAGAGAAATGGAAGGAAGCCATATAATGCCTGAGTTTGTCACATGGGAATTAAACCAAAGATGGAGAGTGAATAACAAATAGCCATGAATATTCAAACGTCTTTGATACAAATCCAAAAGGCAGAGTATTATCTACCTTTGACAGTCAGTGGTGAGTAAATCAACACAAGCAACAGGTCTGAAATGATGCCCCCCTGAACATAATATTTTCTTGTAATATATATATATATATAATAATAATAATAATAATATGCCATTTAGCAGACGCTTTTATCCAAAGCGACTTACAGTCATTATATATATGTATTTATTTTATTCTAATCAACGATTAAAGGCACCATTTATATTGCTGAGTTAAGTTATAAATAATACAAAATACTGTATAATAAAGTTAACTTTAATACATTTTAATTCTCTAATAATGCGGGATACAGCATAATGCCATGGTGGAACATGTATCAAGGGTAAAGAGGATTAACGGTCATTTGCATAATAAACAGGCCAAACACAGAACGGAGGTAAATAAATGTTGAAGTGAGTCCTTGTCTCCTTCCATCCATTCATGATGTACATAGTTTATTAATCAATATTTGTGAGTCATAATTACAGCTGTTTTTTTACTTATATGAGGTAAATGGAGATTAATTAGTGACCTGAAACACATGCTAATGAGTTTCTCTTTTATGCTGCAATTTATCAGTGATTTGCCAAGTCATCTGAGCGACTGGAAATTAACTTTACACTTTTTAATTGTGTTTTGTGTTTATCTTGATTCTAGAGCGCTACTTAGAACCCCAGGATGCAGTTAGTTCAATCTGTATGGTAGCAGTCTTTCATGCAGCAACACAACACAACACAACATAATGAGTCAACTCATCTCCTCCCAATGACCAGACTCAGTGGGACTCCTATCTTAAGGTGACCTTCTGAAGATGATGCACACAACTGTGTCTCATTGTCTCTACTCACTCTTCTCAGCAAATACCAAAATACATGGGACAGTGGAGTTTAAAATGGAGGCTCCTTACTAGCATGTTACATTACAGCACAGAATAAAGTGGTAACATGGTAAACATATGGTAACAAGTCATGAACACAACATTATTTGCCCAGATGCCCCTTAAGTTTTGTGTATTTATGTTGTTATTTCAGGGTAATGCACCACATGCTTTGATATAGAGTATATCCCCTTTTCCAACCCTCATCCCCAATCCCTTACTCTGAGAGATGAGAGAGAGAGAGAGAGAGAGAGAGAGAGAGAGAGAGGGGGGGGGGGGGGGGGGTCAAATAGGCCTAGGCTATGAAAATGTATGCCGATAAAAAAATAGGTTTTGTCTTGTACTGAAATATAAGCTTTTTACCATAATCTTACCCAAAAGAGGTCAATCTTGGCCAAAGAGGACTAGATTGTAACATTTCCTAAAATCATACTTAATGCCTTATGTCTAAGAACAGAATCTGCAACGAATGTATTAGTCACAAAGCTTGCACAGGATATTTTTCTACGAGCCGTGAGTGGATAATTCCTCTATCAATCTAGTTTAGTGACATCGGTTGTGTTACAGTCCCCGCCCAGCAGCTGCTGATGCTATTTGAGTGAGAGACGGCAGTTTCTTGTACATTAACCTAAAGTAGCAGGGGGTTTAGCGTCGTCAATGGGAAGCACACGCCACGGTGGAAAAGCGAATACTGTCTAGCTAACTTCCATTTACAACATGGGTTCCACGTCGATTCCGTGTTTGTGGATTACATTTTGCATTCATCTATGTTGTTTTATGGACACTGGAAAAGCACAGAATGCGAAAGAAGGTATGTAATAAAGTTTGATACCCTTTCATCATCCAGGCTACATCCCGAAAACTGATCGGCAATGGCGCGAAGTGACATCCAAAGACAGCGCACATCCTGAAATTCTGTTGTTTGCGCACGAATTCCTGTATTTGTGAAATGTGTTAAATACATTTTTCAATTACATACAGTGTTGTTAGTCAGTGGATCGCAGTCTCTGTGCGCATCCACACAGCGTTTGTGGGACAAACGGTCCGTTGTAGGCTATTTTAGCAGGCTTTTACGCATGGCACCAAATCGACGGACAATGGTTACATTTTCGTTTACAAGGCTTAGAAAGTCTACATTTGGGAAGATTTTCATTCCACTCAGTGTCATATCATACATACATCATGACTAGGAATAAACTTCCAAGATCGTTGGATAGGCTAATTACTATCACATTAGACACCATAAATATGGTACACAGTAACCCTCCTTGTCATTACAGGAGTTCATGTTTGAAATACCTTAAGTAAATCTGTTTTTCTACAAACTGGCATGCACAGAGCGCGCAAGGAAAGTATATCTATATCACATACACAGAGCGATAGAAAGGACGATCACTATACACTGTTGATATAAATAAACTAAAGAATGTTATGTTCATCTTGCTAAAGAAATAGGCTTATTAATAAATAAATACAATTGGAAGGATAGAAATAAGATTAAAATGTCACTAAGTTGTTGACCTTCACTTATAAGGTGATTATTGTGTTCGTAAACACACTGTATTGATTCTGAAATAGTCTACTGTAGTGTCCGTCTGAAGCTTGAAACAGGCTGTGTAAATTGTAAAAAAAAAAAAAAGCATATATGGCTATAATATATAGTCGTATGTCTGATCAATATATTTAACAGATATTTAGCCCTTTTATTAAACACACTCTCTCAGGTCCCTGCGTTCTAGGGAGATAAATCGGCAGTGCGCTCTCGGGCTGTATTCAGTGAATGGTTCGGCCGTGACTACCCACTAATAATCTATTGAATGCCTATACCCAATATATTTAAGTGACACTTTTACACCAAATTCATGTCGCCTTTGGTAGACTACATCTGAACTGTTTTGGGATCATTTTCCTGTTGTTAGTGCGCCTGTCGCCCGGGCACAGCAAGGACTCATGCATTGCTTTTTAATGTCCGAGATTTACGTACAGAGGCAGGTGTTCTCGTCTAACCTTATTGCACCAGCATGCATGCATTCTAAAAAGACACACCGATAGGTTTGAATAATTGTGCTATTTTACCTCATGTTTATGTGGTTTGTAGGCTACATGGAACCCAAAGTTGTCACACACAACACTTACTTTTTAGATAAATGGAGATACAAGTTGTCCTCAGTCTTTATAGGAAGGAACATGTGTTTATCCAGTGTTTGGTGCTGCAATGTCTTGAATATATAGCAGTTTTCTCATGCAGTGTCATTTAGGTGAAAGGTATTGCCATCAATGCCCATCTGCTCAGCCTGTAATTGTTCATTTTAATAGCTGGCTGCAGAAAATGGGTCATATGTCTACTCATCTACCCGCAAAGTAGACTTTTATAGATTATTAGTCATATTCAGCGAACAGACAGTGGCACATTCAGAGATTTAATCGCCTGCTCTACCATTTTATTTCCTGTCGCTAGTGATTCTGTTGGATTCCAAGGCGCAGCTGACAGAGCTGGAGTGGATATCCTATCCTCCTAGTGGGGTAAGTGGGACAGACACTAACTAGCCTACACTCTTCTGAGAACGTCAACATATAATACTCGAATCAACACTATTATTTCCACCATTATCATGCTCCATATGGAAGTCCTTTCCACCACAAAAAATAAATACATCTGACTACGAGTTTTGAGATAGTAGGTCATTATTATGAGATAGTATGTTATTATTATGACATAGTAAGTCGTTATTATGAGATAGTAAGTCATTATTATGATATGCATTTAGGCGATCTGTATCACATGAATCCAATGTGCACTTTGCATCAGGCCGTCCGCAACTTTCAAGGATAACCTTTTGTATATCCTATAGTCAATCACAGGTTGTGTGTGTGTGTGTGTGTGAGTGAGAGAGAGTTTGTGGTGATATTGTTCGATATTAATGTATTAAAACGTTTTTTTGATGTGAGTTGGTGCCTCCATTAAAAAGTAAATCTGGGATTGGTACATCCATTTTTGACTTTTAAATGATTAATATACTGTATAGCCATTCATTATTGAGGAATATAACTTAGAAATGCATGAGCAACAGTCTTACCCCATCAGAACCCCAAATACACGCGTGTTTTACTCCATTGTTTGTAAACAATATAATTGTAAACAAAAACGGTATAGCTTCAAAACATGGTTAAAATTGTTATTTTGATCTCATGAATGGTCAATCCTTGCTTCCATATGTGAGAGTCCTTGCGTCTATGTATTTGAGAGTGGTTACATTTCTCCTGCTCCATTCCTCAGCTGTTTACCAAATAAAGTGACGGGGAGTGGGCTTTGTTTTTGTTTGAATCCCAGATTTCCCCTTTAAAATTGGTCGACCTGCAGGACTATTCAATGACCATGATCCAGACTTACTATCTCATAATTATGACTTACATATCTCAGAATTATGACTTATATATCTCATAATAATGACTTACTATGTAATAGTTACATACTATCTCATAACTTGTAGTCTTGTTCTTTTGTTCTTTATTGGTGGCGGTAGGCCTACTAACGAGGAAAATCTAGGGCTAATTGGAATGGGAAATTTCAACACATTCCAGTATAATTATATCTGGCTGACTCATTACCATGCATATGTGCCTCTCGGTAATTGTCAGCCGCACTATCCGGAGGCAAGCTTTTAAAAATTGCCACAGTGTCGGACTGAATTCTACAAAGGCAATTTGGGTGGGATATTTGTTAATGTTAATTGATGTCAATAGTAGTAGTCCTGAAAATCTATTGGATGGGTGGCATTTAAGTGAAGAGATATTAATTTAGTTTTTGATGTAGCCTAGGCCTCTAGTCAACTTTCCATAATAGCCGGTCTCTAAATGTTTTTACATTTTAATAAATAAAAACATTTAAAAAAGAAATACAAAATTAAGTAATGTGATTGGAAAGTCATGAATGGAAATAATCTTAATTGATCCATAATTTGTTTTTATGCTTATCAGGTTTACTTACAGTACCTTCAGAATGTATTCACACCTCTTGACTTTTTCCAAATGTTGTTGTCTTACAGCCTGAATTTAAAATGTATTAAATTGAGATTTTTTGTCACTGGCCTACACACAATACCTCATAATGTCAAAGTGGTGTTTTTAGACATTTTTACAAATGAATTACAAATGGAAAGCTGAAATGTCTTCAGTCAATAAGTATTTAACCCCTTTGTTATGGCAAGCCTAAATACGTTCAGGAGTAAAAATGTTGCTTAACAAGTCACATAATAAGTTGCTTGGACTCACTCTGTGTGCAATAAAAGTGTTTAACATGATTTTTGAATGACTACCTCATCTCTGTACCCAAGGCATACAATTATCTGTAAGGTCCCTCAGTCGAGCATATTGAATATCCCTTTGAGCTTGGTGAAGTTATTAATTACACTTTGGATGGTGTATCAATACACCCAGTCACTACAAAGATACAGGCGCCCTTCCTAACTCAGTTGCCGGAGAGGAAGGAAACCACTCAGGGATTTCACCATGAGGCCAATTAAAACAGTTACAGAGTTTAATGGCTGTGATAGGAGAAAACTGAGGATGGATCAACAACATTGTAGTTACTCCACAATACTAACCTAAATGACAGAGTGAAAAGAAGGAAACCTTTTTGCAATAAGGCAAATCCAACACAACACATCACTGAGTACCACTCTTCATATTTTCAAGCATGTGGTGGCTGCATCATGTTATGGGTATGCTTGTCATCGGCAAGGACTAGTGAGTTTTCTTCAGGATATAAATAAATGGTATAGAGCTAAGCACAGGCAAATTCCTAGAGGAAATCCTGGTTCAGTCTGCTTTCCAACAGACATTGGGAGTATATTCACCTTTCAGCAGGACAATAACCTAAAACCCAAGGCCAAATATACACTGGAGTTGCTTACCAAGACGACATTGAATCTTCCTGTGTGGCCTAGTTACAGTTTTGACTTAAATCAGCTTGAAAATATAAGACAAGACTTGCAAATGGCTGTCTAGCAGTGATCAACAACCAACTTGACAGAGCTTGAAGAATTTTAAAATACTATTGTACAATCCAGGTGTGGAAAGCTCTTAGAGACTTACCCAGAAAGAGTCACAGCTGTAATCGCTGCCAAAGGTGATTCTAACATGTATTGACTGTAAAAAAAATGTGTATTTATTTTGTAACACAACAAAATCTGGAATATATTAAGGGGTATGAATACTTTCTGAAGGCACTTTTCTCTGTTAGTTTCTGTAAGTATTTTATAATATTTATTTGGGACTGATTTCAGAATAACAGTGATGAGTTTATGGATTATGTATATTAGTTGCAAACTCATTTCCAAATAGTTTAAAAGCAAAATGGATGACACATTTTTCAGAAAGTACTCCAATAATGGAGGTATTTTCTTTCCCTATGTGCTTGGGATTTACTTGTGCTGCACCACCTTTATGCACCTTTATTATTCATTTTTTTCACCTTTTACACTCCTTTATTACTATGTATTACATACAAAGACACTGTATTGAAACAATACTACAGTAGGGCATAAAAACCGTCCGTCATTTACATCGTTGTGTTTTGATTTCATTGCAAAAGTATATCGCTGATGAGAGCCAATCAATATAAATTTACCAAACTTGTGCTCTGTTCTTTTGTAGTGGGAAGAGATCAGCGGGTTGGATGAAAACTACACCCCCATTCGCACATACCAGGTTTGTCAGGTCATGGAGCCCAATCAGAATAACTGGCTTCGGACTAACTGGATAGAAAAGGGTGATGCCCAAAGGATTTTTGTGGAACTGAAGTTCACCTTGAGGGATTGTAACAGTCTACCCGGTGTGGTGGGCACGTGCAAGGAGACATTCAACTTGTATTATCAGGAAACCGATTCGGAAGTCGGCAGGAATATACGAGAGAACCAGTACGTAAAAATTGACACAATCGCAGCAGACGAGAGCTTCACCCAGGGGGACCTGGGAGAGAGGAAGATGAAGCTGAATACAGAAGTGCGCATCATTGGGCCGCTGTCCAGACGAGGGTTTTACCTGGCCTTCCAGGATGTAGGGGCATGCATCGCTCTGGTCTCTGTCAAAGTTTATTACAAGAAGTGCTGGTCCATCATTGAGAACCTGGCCACTTTCCCAGACACAGTGACGGGTTCAGAGTTCTCCTCTCTGGTCGAGGTCGAGGGCATGTGTGTCAGTGACGCCGAGGAGGAGGCCGACAACTCTCCCAAGATGCACTGCAGCGCAGAGGGGGAATGGCTGGTGCCTATAGGGAAATGTATATGCAAAGCAGGATTTCATCAGAAGGGCGATGCATGTGAACGTGAGTACAGTTACAGTATATTAACCTCTCTGTAAATATTCTCCCTATACTCAGTTTTCATTAGTGGCATAATTTTTCCATCCTCTGAAAAAACGGCAGTTTGCAATATTGAGAAACTCCAAACATTGTTTTAATTAGGGGAAATATTACATTTATTGGTAAGCAGAAAATGTGCCTCATTCAAATGTACATGTTTAGAATCGTTTTTTCCCTTTGATTCATTATCGCATAGGATCACCCATGCCATGCCTAAACATCAGAAAAAATCTGTTGAGCATTTTAGTTTTTAATTATGCAAAGCATGCAAATGACAATTTAGGCCACATTGAATAGTTGTGGTGGCAAATAAAATTAAAGCAGCTGATTTGAAGGCAATAATAATTATGGATAAAGTATGGAGGCCCAGAAATCCTCAGTGTAATAATTGGAATCCATGTTAATTGTTTGATTAGCGGGCTCTTAATTTATAGCCGTGGTTCTGTTGACACTGGGATTAAATGATAACTTGCACTTCAGTTTAGCTCAGTACTCCTTGGCAAGAGCACTTACCTGTATGGATGGCTGCTGGCCAAGGCAATCACTTGCAGAATACACAGGTCTGAAGGATGTCCATCCAATCTTTCAGTATCCCTCTGCCCAATCCAAACAACCCTGACAGAGAGGGAAACAAATAGCCGCCATACTGTGGCATTTAGGCTCCAGGATATTTATGAAGGGCCCTAACAGGAAACGCAATTACAGTCAAGCTTGGCTGTGTTGTTTGGTCCTAGCACCATGCCTCTGCAATTAGCATTAAAATGCTTTATGTCACTATAATTGCACAAAGGATTATTTTCAGTGGCCACCTGACTTGTAAGATAAAAATCACAGTGGATTAAAGGAGAACTACTTAGGTCACATAGTTTAAGTGCCCTGTCTTGTCAGCCAAGCTTTTCCCCCCCTCACAACGTCCATCTAAGCAGCTTATGAGGGGTACTGACCAGTAATAATTAAAGGGAATGTGTCTCAGCACAAATTAGAATTCCAAGTAGGCTAGCCACATTCAGGCCACTACTGCCACACATGGTCCTTCACCAGTGAGTTAGGCATATACCCTCTACCCTGTGAAGTGTACTTAGGTGATATTATCAAAAAACTAAAATTGCCTCTTGAGTTATGTTCCCTCAAATGTGGTAGAGCTCGCTCAACACCCAGGAGTACTTTTTCTGGTGTTGTTTATGTTCTTTTGGTAAGTAGGTGTGCATTTCTGCCCCAGGGACGAAAGCTACAGTAAAAAGCAATTTGGGCCATTTTCTGATTCACTTCCAAAGGAGCAAACAATGTAGCATATATTATAAAAGCTTTGTCTAAAAAGTGTCTGCTTATGCCTGCTCTTCTGCTTGTAAAGCATTGTGCACATGGCCTGTTAGAACTGAAATGTTGCCCATTCCAGGCAATTAACTGATCCAACAAAAATACTAAAATTTTCCTTAACTTTATAAGAGATTTATTTCAATTGGGGCATGGTTGGCTATTGTATTAAGGGGTAGTTAATCTAAATAAAATGAACATCATACTGCAGCATCAGCAGCTTCGCATAGATGTGGTGATTTTAAACAGCCCATTCAGGGGTTTCTTCTGGAGCAAATCAAAGGGGAAAATACAACAGTTTTCCATCGGTTGAACACCACTGCAATGGGGCCTAGAATGGAAGATGGTTTCGTCCTTTGTAACTGCGACTAGCTTATCCTGCAGGCCATTGCCCTACAATAGTACAGATAAAATACTTGTGTTGGATTTCACACAGTCTTTACCCAGGCCTCTCTTTTAGCTTCCTGATTGGGATACTGCGCCTTGCTATATAGATCATAGATACACATTCCCTCACACATTCCCTCACTGTTCCATTTTCAATATCTACAGTATTCCCCAACTATAAAATGGCCGTCTGTGAAATATCGAGCAGAAGGTTGAAGGAGGAGCAAGTGAGTTGAGCTGTCAGTCATGTCATTCGAGGACTAGCAGCCCCCCTCTGTGGATGCAGCGGCCTCCTCCAAAACGTGTTGTGATCCACTCATTCATCACCGTCACTGGAGAAGCACAGCATGTCTTTCACTCCTCTCCCTCCCCGTCTTTGTCTCTTTTTAACTCTTTGTGTGGCAATCTGCAGCACTATAAATACCTGTCTTTCTCTCTCTCCCAGTGTTAGGATATTCAGTGTTATGGGTTTTGAAAAAGGCCCATTTGAAGTGTCCTGCAGCGTGCGCAGGGTTTATTTGCATAGAAGTGTGTGGTGTTAAAATAGTGGGCATTCATTTTCAGGTTCTGTTCAGCAGTGGCCCACTCATTGAAATGGAGCCACTGAGTCGTTTTGAGAAAGAGAGGGCCCTTGTGTTTTGCCTGAGTTATTCTCGAACCCTAGGAATGTATGTTGTCCAATTTTAACACATCACATAATTGTTCCTAAGCAACCAACTCCTGAGAGCTGAATAACTATTGACCTGTATGTTGTCCAATTTTAACACATCACATAATTATGTTGTTAAAGGACAATTCCACCACTTTATAACCAGTTATTATGCTGTTAGTATAAATTCACATCTGTAAGATTTTATATACATTTTTTATCATTTTTGTTAGTCATATTGCACAATTCCTTGTTTTTGTAATTTTTGAAGCATCTGCATTGCCCTCATCTACAGTATACTACAATTCCCAGAGTGCATTTCACCTCCCAAGATGCAATGCTCTGCCCAGTCTGCAGTTCATTTAGCTGGCTAGCAAGCCCAGACGAAGCTTATGTCATAAATTAAGAGTCCATTTCACAATACTTTTGGGTTGTAAATATATAATAATGTTTGCATGAATATCATGCTGAATATATGTTCACGTCATTGTCACCAATCAATTGCATTACACACTGCATTACACTCCCGAGTGGCGCAGTGGTCTAAGGCACTGCATCGCAGTGCTAGCTGTGCCACTAGAGATCCTGGTTCATATCCAGGCTCTGTCGTAGCCGGCCGCGACCGGGAGACCCATGGGGCCCAGCGTCGTCCAGGGTAGGGGAGGGAATGGCCGGCAGGGATGTAGCTCAGTTGGTAGAGCATGGCGTTTGCAACGCCAGGGTTGTGGGTTCGATTCAAATGGGGGGCCAGTATGAAAAATAAAAAAATTATGTATGCACTCACTAACTGTAAGTCGCTCTGGATAAGAGCATTTGCTAAAATGACAAAAAATTATAATAATATATATAGATAATAATTAGAATGTAGATGCTAATGATTGCTAACGAATGCTAACCCTAAGTTACTGTATCTGATAGTTAGCTAGCCCGACTGATACATCAGAAACAAGTGTGTTTGCAACAATTACAGCCAAGTTTAATCTTAAACAACAGTCAAAAAACATGCAGGCCTGTTAAAACACAACATGTATTATGACACATCACTACGGAATCCCAGTCTCATGCTTGAAGCCTGTATCTTTGGTGCTAATATTAGTAATGCTAATATTAGCAATGCTGCATCTGAAATAAAGTGTAAAAAAAGAAGAAGCCAAATACAGCCTTAAGGACTGTCCAAGCAACCATCCAACAACACTGAAGGCCTATTGGAACTAATAAAAAAAGTTTACACTACGAAAATATGTTCCTTGCAATTAGTGGTCCTTGGGACTTCCCTACCCCGTTGAAGTTGACATTTAAAATGGTTAAGTTTAGGGTTAGGTAAGGGTTAAGGTTAAGGTTAGGGTAAGGGTAGGGGTTATGTTTAGGGTTCAGGGTAGGGACGTCCCAAGGATCCCGGATAGCACTAACCATGAAAATACATGGCCGTGCAACTTCATCGGTGATGGTGGGAGTGGAATGGAATCATGGGACTTTGAGCCTTGAGCAACAGAAGAATATTTGAGTAAACTGGCTATAAATATCATTAGGATTTTGAGTGTCTATTTAAAATATTTCCAGATGTTATTAGACAAAGACAACCAGCGCAACATATAGCAGGGAGTTCCAATATGATAGAAAAAACTACAGATGGTTTTATAGATCGCTGAAAATGACTGTCCATAATTAATTTTATTCGTCATCTCAGGGATCCTGCTCATCACTAAACAGTCAATAAACATTAAATCATAAAATTACACTAAAACTGTGTAGGACATTACTAAATACTTCATAATAACATCCCAAATGTTAAAAGTGTCGGAGTTGCCCTTTAAGTAACCTATCCTGACAACGGATTAACTATTGACCTGCTCAACTATTTCTCCAGTGTGAAAGGCCTAGTACCTCAAGTAAACATATAAAACACGACCTTATCCCAGCGCTATCGCTACATACTAACAAGATAATTAATGAAAGGATATAGCATCCTGCATACACTGACACCATCCATCTTGGGGTGTCAGGAAGTCGGACAGGAGTTAGTCTAGGGCTGATTGATGGGCCGAGGCCCCTGAGGGAAGGACCTAGCTGTGTTGGGGTTGACCACAGAAGCCCAAGGTGTGTTTGTGTGGAGGGGAGAAAGGCACCGGGCAGCAGGCTGCCGAGCAGCCCCAGCCCAGCTCCAAGCCCAGGCAACTACTTAGCATTTCAAATGAAGCCAGGAGTCAGGGGACCTCATGCATTTTGACGCTCCTCCTGATTGATAAGGTGTGAATGTAATGCTCCAAATAGCTATCCCTTGCAACCGCTACCAAGCTTAATTATGCAAAAAGTGGTGCACACAGAATCACCAGGAGACGCAACTGGATTTAAATCAATCAAGATTGAAATAATTTGGTGATAGATGGTGGCTAGTCTTGTCACCGCCAGTGTCGGCTAGCTTCCTGTGAATAGCTGCATCCTTCCACAGCTTCAGGGTTGTTCTTGTTTTTTTGTTTGACCTGGCAGGTAGCACAGTGATAGGCACAGATGGGCCATTGTATCTGTTGCTTTTAAACACAAACATGGTCAACAGCTTACATCAAATCTAAAAATTAATTTGTTTAGTTTTTGGGGGGGATTTATATAAATAGTATGTAGGCTTATAGATAGAAACAAACACTGTCACCT